CAGGTGAGGGACGGACCCGACCCCAGCCCCAAATCCCATCCCCGACCCACACCCAACACGGCACCGCCACCACTGCACCGCCACCGGGCACCGGCAGCGCCACTGCCACACCGCCACCGTGCCCCGAACCCTCCAGCCCTTCCGGGACCGGTCTCTGAGCTCATCCTGGCCTTCCCCCCACAGCCCCTCAGGGATCGGTTCCCGCTTCTCTTCAGGGCCCACAGGACCGACACCCGCTCCTCCGCCTTTTTATCATCCGGTGCTGATGGACGGAGCCCCCACATCCAGGGACCGGCTCCTTAAGGACCGGGACCTCCAGCGCGTCAGAAATTTATCTGAAATTAGCCATATCTGCCTAAATTAACCATAATAAGTACTACATTTATGTAGAAGTGTTTCATTTCTTTGCTGGGTAAAATGCTGTTCCTGGTTCATTATCCTCTTGTATTCCCAATGTTTCTCCTAGGTTGTATATGAATGTTTTCTAGGAATTAATGTCTTTGAGCTCTTTAAATCTGTTTAACAAAAATCTGTAACAGCTGCTAATTGAGGACTGAATATATGTTTGTAGAGGCCTTGAATTTCCACTGTGTAGATGTAAATTGCACTTGCATTATCAAAGACAGGAAATTCACTATCTGAAGTGCTCAGAGAAATAGATAAATTAACCCAAAACTCTGGACAGATAAAGATTGTTATTCATGGCACAGAAAGGCTGCTTTTTGAAGGACTTTTTTCCTCATGTAGTTTCTCAGTGACCTCTACAGAGGGCAGAAATCATCTGGTTGAGAGTTAAGACTTTTGAAGAGAAATTTTTAGTCTTTGTAGACACAGATTCAGCATGCAGGTACTGTGGTGATAGGTAAAAACTCTAAATACCTGCCTTGGGGATAACAGCTGAAAGGTGTTGCTGAATCCCTGGAGAATGGTGCAAACATTAATTCTCCTTACTCAGGCATAAAGAAAACTTTAAAAGTTGTTTTGTTTTTTTTTAAAGAGTTGCTGCAGGGAAAAATCAGATCTTATTGGGAGAAGCAGCTAATTAAATATTAAATGAGCAGCTGCTGTGTGTGTACCCTTTGCTTGGTGAGCGGGAACAGGGTGTGGATTATACTCAAAATAAGATTTTTATTCATTTATCCAGTTCTCTAGATAGATAAGATGGCTGCTCCTGAGAAAGATCCAAACCTGAGGCTCCTGCAGAAGAATCCATCAGGTAAGGACAGTCCTTTCTCCAAAGCCCTGCTGCTGTGGGATCCTGTTTCAGTTTCTCTGAGGAGACACGTGGCCCTCAGAAGATTCTCCACCAGAAGCTTTTTGTTAAAAAAAGGTCTTTTTTCCTATCCTTGCCTGCTTTTTCAGCAATCATTTGATAAGGAATTTCTCCCTTAAGCTGATAGCTGATGAATCTGGGAGAGTTCTTTAGAGTTAATGTAAAAATACCTTTTTAACTTGCCCAGTTTTGCTGTGCTGCTCTTTTTATTCAGGGCACCAGCTGGGTGTAACATGACCAAACTAATCAATGGGAATATAATTTACAGCTTCTGCATTCTGACTTCCTCACCAAGATTGTTTTTCAGTCTCCTGTTGATATCATTTGACTTCCCTGTGCTTCCTGCTATTTCCTTTTGCAAAAGATATTTTTTTAACAGGAACACGGGGAGCGGAACAAGAAGCAGTTTGGTGTTTGGAAGCACTGGTAATTACAAATGGCTTAATTAAAGCATAAATATCCCTGTTTTTTTTCTCTCCAGACCCCAGCAGCTGTCAGAAGAGCAAGTTCTTGGAGGCTGAGTGGAAGAGTGTGAAGCCCCAGAGCCGCCTCAGCCGCTGGCCGAGCGTGGCTGAGAGTGGGGATGGGGGAATTGGCACCTCCTGCTCGGACAGCACCGAAGGTGATGGGCACCACTGGGTCAGAACGTAAAACCTGGAGGGCAAAACCTGTCAGAATGTCTGAAACTATTTAAAATCCGGGTGTCTGGAATGTAACCATGTGAGGAGGGGGCTGGCTGTTTCTCTGAGCTTGGTTATTGTCTTGCTGCAGTGCTTTTAACTGACTAAAAGCCACCTTGGTGACTTGCTGGTTCTTATTGTCCAATGAGAGATTTATCAGCAAGTCTGTTGTGTGATTTTTAAAATATTTTTAAGGAAATAATTTATAGGTGCCTTTGTGCAGAAGCGTTTGGCTCTGCAGTGCTAGAGCTGAGAATTCTGCAGGCTGGCCTTCAGCTGAGGCCCACTCTGAAATTTCTGGTCCCTGCAATCCTTTCCACCTGACTTTTTTATCTTCACTGATTCTTTTTTCAGTAATGAGGGACTTTGTGGCACTCCTTAAAACACTTCACACATCTTTGTGTTCCAGGAAGCCTTTGGAAAGAGCTGTAGATCTCAATAATGTGCCAGTGAAATGGAGGCCCAGGGCTGCCTGTTGGAAGTATTGCTAGAAATATTACACCAGCACGTGTTCAAGTGTTCCATCAGGCCTCTCTCAGGATAATAAAACACCCATTTGGCAGCTGGGGGCAGGGGAGATGATTTTCCTTTGGGAAATGTCCCTTCTGAGCGCTGGTGATGTCACAGGGTGACCTGCAGCCCTGGCTGCTGCTGAGGCACGCTGAGCTCAGTACATTAATCAGAAATGTTGTTGTGAGGACCCTCAGCACACTCAAGGAACTGATTGCAGCACCCCCACGTGAGGTGCTGGTCAGGGAACTCTGGTTCCTGACAGTGACACCAGGGGATAAATTTAGAGGCTGTAAAAGGAAATGGTGCTGTCTCTTCTCTTTGCCAAGGTGAACGTGCTTGCAGCTCCTCAGCGGCATGGTGTTCTCTGGAGTCCCCAGGCACAGCCAAGCAGTGGCTGAGAGATTTTCTGCCCTCACTGCTCATTTTTGATGAAAGGATCAAGTGCCTTTATTGTGACAGTTCTTCTGTAGTGTGATTTTGGTCTTTGCAGAGTGTGATTTGGGCTGTATTCGAATTGTAGTGTTTGTTTATTCATTGTGGCAGTGCTTGGAAGGCACAAACAGGTGGGAGGGTGACTTGTTAGAGCATCACGTGGGGATGGGCCTTTGGCCAAAGCTGTGAGGAAATCAAGTGTTCCTGGGAGAAACCTGGAATTTCTGGGACACAGAACGTCTCAGGACAACGAGTGGGCGCTTCAGTGTTTGCCTTTCTCAGCCCTTGCTGTTGCTGTATTGAAATCTGAGAGTTGCTAAGAATAACCCCGAGTTCCCTGCAGCCAGGTTTGGTGCCCCACTGGCAGGACGGGAGCTCAGCCTCACTTCCTGTGGCCGTAGGTGAGAGCCATTGCTCCAGCTCTAGGACGGGCTCTTGCTGGGGTGTCCTGGAGGAGCTGGAAGGTCAGATCCTCGGGGTCAGCGATGTTGGAGGCTCACCATGGGCTCAGGGAAGGCTCCTCTTAGCTCTGCTCACGCTTGGGAGTCGCTGAGCCGTGGGACGGGCAGAGCAGGATCACGGGCTCAGTGTTCAGCTCAGTAAGTTTCAGCCTTTTTATTCAGTATCAAGGACTTGATTTCTAAACCTAGAGAAAGATAACATTATTGATTCAAGATTATTCTAAAAACAAGGATTAAAAATATGGATTAAGCTTGGATTTTTCCTGTAGGGAAAGGTCAGCAGGTTCCTGAAACTTGTAGTGAGGGGGAACACGGGTGTGCCTGAGTCATGCTGCTGCTTTGGAGGACATGTTCAATGGGAAAGGAACCGGTTTTAAAATCATTTTGGAAAGCTCACTGGAGGATTGTATTTTCAGGACTGTAATTACAATACCCCTCTCCTTCTTCCCCCAGACTTCTGCAATTCCAGTAGCAGTTCCTCATTCCATCCCATCAAAACCCAGGTGACCATTCCAACAGCCCACGTTATGCCTTCCACGCTGGGTGCCTCGCCCTCCAAGCTGTGCCCTGCAGGGGACCAGGGCTGCTCCCAGAGCTCTGCCATGCCAGCCTCTGCCCCTGACCGCCCAGGACTCACCAGGAACGGGGACTTGAACGCCGGGAAGTCCTCTCAGGTGCCACCCAGGGACCTCCTGCGTCTCTACAGGGCTTCGGGGGAGAACGGCTGCGAGCGCTCCTGGCCTCCTGCTGCTGATCACACGAGGACAGAAGACGCCTGGAAGTTTGACACCCCTGCCATCGAGCAGACCCTTAACCAGTCTCTCTTTCTGGACAGTGTGTGCACTGACCCTCTGCACAGGTGCCAGAAGTTCAACCCAAGCTCTGAGGCAGGGAAGGACCATTACAAGGTGCTGCCAGAGAGCAAACAGGCGCCAGGGGCCAACGGAGCCTGCGAGCCCCGGGACGGGACGTGGCCCAGCGGGAGCAGGCTGATGCCAGCGGGACTCCAGGCCAACAATTTCTATTCAAAACCTGTAGTAGCTCCCCCAGCCCGAGCGTGGGTGCAGGAGGGCTGCACACTGCACCCCCACCAGGGAGTCTGTGAGCTCAGTGCCTGGAAACAGCAGCTGGACAAAGTGAGGCTGCAGGTGGAGCAGATGCAGGTAGGCAGCTGTGACTGTGTGAATTGGAAACCCTTCCTGTCTCTTTAGTCAGGAATTGTTGTTCCAGACTAAGGAGCTGGGAGGAAAATGTTTCATGCTTCTCCCTGAGTGACACCAAAAGTCTCCTAATGGTCTGTTTTTACAGCTTGTGGTGTCACAGGTATCATTTGACACGCTGTGTGTGCAGAGCAGCCCTGGATTGAGTTACAGGGCTGCAGCAGCTGCCAGATCAAGAGCTGAAATACCCTGTCTGATAGAAACTGTGAAGAAAAAGCATGCTAAGAGGTTTTAAACAGTGTCTAGAATAGCTTTCTTCTGTATCGAGGGTTAAGACAGACTTTTTTGAGAAAATACATGAAACTAACTGCAGTTCATTAGGTGGAAACAGTTTGTTTACCACTTCCCACCAGCTGTACCCTAATGGAGACAAATTGTTTCCAGCAAGCTAGCACAGTGATCTAAAATTATTTGTTAATCTCCAGTTGTGCTTGGGCAAAGTTTCTTGTTCTTGGACATCAACAGAGACTGAAATAGCCATGCCCTGGCATGCAGATGAGCACACAGTGTGCAAAATAGCTCCAGCAGTGTTGCAATTACCCCTGTGGGGCACAAACCTCTCCCTCCTTGTTTTGTCTCCTCTTGCAGTTACAAAATGGAGGCACCTGCCCCCATTCCTCCTTGTATTCCCCATCCCTGCCTGCACCTGACCCAGCTCAGTGGATCAATATCCTCAACTCCAATGAAAACCTGCTCAAGGAGAAAGAGCTCCTCATCGACAGGTGAGGCTTTATGTGGTTTAAAGACTCCAGTCCAATTCCATTTGGAAAGGAAAGGTTTGGAAAGTGCCAAGAAGGGCTCATTTCTCAGAGTTCCTTGTGTCCAGTTGATCTTGTTTTGTTGCAAACAACAATATAAACACCTTAAGAGAACAACCTGAGCTCTTCTCTCCTTGGAATAAGGACAGTGATCCTGAAGGGCTCAAATAAATTAATTTTAGTTACGGTTTTCTGTGTTTTTTAACAGATAAAGATTTCTGTTCACGTCATGATTATCTGGGATGACAAAATAACTGCCTCTTCTGCTTAAGGACTCTGGGAGCTCTTTGAGGCCTTTATTTTAAATTTGGTTTTTGTGACTTTGGGCTGGCAAACAACACTTCTCTCACCGAAGACTAGTGGTGCACAAGGTTTTTGAAAAAGTCCTAATGGAAAGTACTTTCAGCATCTGGACTGTAGATACTTTTTCTTCTTTACTTTGAGTCACCTGTTCATTTCACTCCTAAGCTCCAGAGTCAAGCAGGATCCTCCAAAACATGCAAGGCTTGTGTGTTTTATCTGTAATCATGGTTGGGGGGAGTGTTTTGAAGGGAGGAAAGGGAAAAGAAGAGTCAGTAAGAATTGTAAAAAAGGTCAAAGTGTTATTTCTGTGCAGATGAGCTCTGAGTTGCAGAGTTTCTGCCTTGCTTGTCACTGTGTGGAGCAGCAGTGCTGTGGTGGTGGTGGCACTGTTTGTTTTGTGTTGCTGCTCTCTGTGTTTGAGAAGAGTGAATTGCCTGTTTTGTTCCAGACAAAGGCAGCACATTTCCCAGCTGGAGCAGAAGGTCCGGGAGAGCGAACTGCAGGTTCACAGTGCCTTGCTGGGCTGCCCAGCCACCTATGGAGACGTCTACATGCTGAGGATGCAGGTACAGCAGGTGTCAGTGAGAAATATGTGCTGAATCCAATGGCCCTGCCACTGCTGCTGAGGTGTTTGCTGAGCAGGACTGTGCACAGTCAAATTAGAAATTACCCTTTGTGTGTTACCAGCACCTCTGTGCCCCATGAGGTTTCCAGCCCTTTGGTTTGGTTAAAGCTGTGCTGCTGATGCCAACACCTGGTGTTGTTTCAGAGTGTGTCAGATGGGCTGAGGGATGTTTGGCAGTTGGGAGGACACAGCCCTGGCACTGCTGAGGGCCACTTTGTACCCCACCAAATTCAGGGGCTTCTCTGCCTGCAGGAGCTGCAGAGGGAGAACACCTTCCTCCGAGCACAGTTCACAGAGAAAACAGAGTCCCTCAGCAAGGAGAACATTGAGCTGGAGAGGAAGCTGGCTGCTGCAGAGGTGGATGTGAAGCTGGTCCGGGAGTCGCTGAAGGAAACGGTGCAGAAACACGCAGAGGAGTTAAAGAAGCAGGAAGAAAGGGTATGATCCTGTTGCTGTAGAGATGGGAAGATGTGTTTTCTTGTCAGTGTAGTGCTGAGGTGGTGAAACTTCTCTGTGGCAGTTTGTAATTGCAGGTGTTTTCTCATCTCATTGTAGACTATGGTTTACAAGCAAAAGCCTTTCCTCCTGCAGTTACAAACATTTCAGTGCCTCCTCTTTTAACCAAAAAAAATGCCTGTCTTTAGCTAAATAAACAAAAATGGGTTAAGGGGATCTTGTATTTTAGCACAGTGCAAAAAGCTAAATGAGTGGGCTTACAGAAGACTGAAGAATAAATAAGAAATTTAATAAACTAAATTTGTCTGTAACTGTCCCTGCAGGTAAAGGGAAGAGACAAACACATTAATAACCTTAAAAAGAAATGCCAGAAGGAATCTGAACAAAACAAAGAGAGGCAGCAAAGAATCGAGACCCTGGAACGATACCTGGCTGATCTTCCAACTCTTGAGGACCACCAGAAACAGAGTCAGAAGGTAAAACTTCCTCTGAGTTGCAATGGTGGCTCTTCACATACTTGTTTAACTTTTCTGTAGTTATATTTACTCCTCTTTTTTACATTTACTCCTCTTACATTTACTCCTCTGCAGCTGAAGGAATCTGAACTGAAGACTACTGCCCTGCAGGAAACAGTGCTGGCACTGGAATCAGAGCTTGGAGATGTCCAGGCTGCTTTCAGGGAGCAAGAGCTGCAGCTGGAAACCCAAAAACACAAAGAGATGGAGCTTCTGTCCACTGTGCGCAGGTAGGAATCGGGAATCGGCCTCACCTTGGCACTGCAGGAGTTGCTGCACGTGGAAGGTGATGCACAGCCCTTGGTGGGCTGGGGTGCAAACAGGGCAATAATGACATTTGATATGAAATTAATTTCACTCCTCATATTGTTTCCCTCCTTAAGGTAAGGGAGAGATTGTAAATAAAACTGGTTTTTTCCCTCCATGGTGTTCTGCTTATTGCAGCTTGCAGGACAAGTTGCAGCAGCATGCAAAGAATGCAGAGAGAGGACCCCCTTCTCAGGATGGAGAGAGGCAGAAATTGGAACATGACTCTCTGAAGAAGGAGTGTGACTGCCTCAGGAAGGTAAGGGGCTGTCCCAGTCAGGAATCACACATTTTCCCACTGAGTCACAGCAGGCACTCAGATGAAATCAGGGACTTTTAAAGACACTGAAGCAGCAGTTCCTGGAATTCCAGACTGCAGGGTTCTAAAAGCTGTTCTTGTTGTGATAACCACACACTTCTCCAGTAATGCTGGGGAGAAGCTGCAGAATGCAGAAGAGGGGAGAGGAAAACCACAAGACTACAATATCTCTGGTCTGTTTTTAGCTGATAAATCTAATAGTGCCTTTTATCCAAGTCCACTCCTAAGAGCATCTATGATTAGAGCAGTAAATGGACAGGAAAGAGAAAGAGAGCAGATGGCTGTCTTACTGAAGGAGAATTCCTGGTGGTATTACTGGATTTGTGAGGCCAGTTCTGATGCCTCTGCTTTTAATTCCAGATTGTGGACAAAAAGCAGAAGAAGATGGAGCAGTTGTCCTTGCAAGTCAAGGTGAGAAGTGACAGGGAGGGACCCAAGACTTGAGAATATGCCATGAAATGAGTTAAACTTACTGTGTTCCCATGGTCTGTTCCAGAACCTGGAAGAACAGGTGGCCCAGGAAGAGGGGACAAGCCAAGCTCTGAAGGAGGAGGCGATGAGAAGGGAAAACGCTCTGCAGCAGCTCCGGGCTGCCGTGAAAGAGGTCAGCGGGTGTTTGGAGTGCCTGGGTGTAGCACTGAATGGACACTGGATTGTCTTTTAGCAAGGCCCTGAATAGTTTCATTTTTAATTCTAATTAGAATAGAATTAGTCAGCAGCTCAATCTCTCCTGCTTCCTGCTGGTCAGTTGTCCTGTCAGGGCTGTGAAAGGAGCTGGAAAAGCTCCTGATGGAAGGCAGGAGGAGCAGGTTGTGCCTCGGGAACTTGATGGGGATGGGCTGGAGGAGGCCGAGCTTGCCAGCTGGGGGCAGCAGAACGGGAGTCCAAGCACAGCCTCGGCTCTGAAGGCAGGGCACGGCCACTGCCAGGTTGCACAACCTCCTGGAAGCTTTTACTGCGTTGGCCTGGGCAGGGACAGGGCAGTTTGGTGCGGCACTTCCCCTTTGATCCAGACCCTGTGTGGGAGTGACACTGGCTCCTCTGACCACAGCCTGGAGGGCTGGAGCAAACCAGCTCCTGCCCTCAGTGTTCCCATCACAGAGCAGGTGCATCAGGTGTGGCAGTGCTGCCCCTGACGTGCCGTGTCCGTGTGTCCAGCTGTCCGTGCAGAACCAGGACCTGATCGAGAAGAACCTGACGCTGCAGGAGCAGCTCCGGCAGGCCCAGCTGACGGCCCAGCCCCTGCCTGCTGACACAGCCCACCTGGCCCAGGAGCTGCACGGGGAGCTGGCCAGCTGCCTGCAGGATTTACAGTCTGTCTACAGCATTGTCACCCAGAGGGCTCAGGGCAAGGACCCCAACCTCTCTCTGCTCCTGGGCATTCACTGTAAGTACAGAGCGACGGCAGAACAAACCCTTCCGTTCCCGTGCTGTGGCAGAATGAAATAACTCACACAGAGCATGGAAAGTTCTCCTCTTTCTGGGCTTCTGAACACTTTCTGTGGTTGGCTTGCTTCAAAGGTGCATGTTGTAATAACTGAATGTTAAGTAGAACCTCTTTTGCAAATGTGAGTTGGTTTTTCTGGCTGACTTGCAAATGTGTGTGAACCTTGCTGAGAAGTGCATGTGAGGAAACTCCCTTCTCTGACCCCACAGCTGTGCAGTACCCTGTGAAGGAGAAGGATGACCTGCTGAGCCCTGATGGACTGGCCAAGAAACTGGTGGAGGTAAAACAGCTTCACAAAGAGGTGGAGGACTTGAGGACTGCGATATCTGACAGATACGCTCAGGACATGGGAGACAACTGCATCACCCAGTAAAGAACACTCCCAAAGTAAGACAGGGAATGAAGACTTGAAACTCTCAGGAGTCTTGTGCTCCTACAACCCTAAACCTATTCAGCACTTTACCATCCCTCTGCTCAGGTACAGGATGTGTGACCTGCCTGATCTGTGAGGAATCAGGAGGTTTGGCAGGAGTGTTCAGCTGCTGACTGGCTAACTGGGATAATTCAGGGCTTTGGTGTCAGGCTTTGCAGTAGCTTTGATCTTGTGGAATCTGTTTTATGCTGTGTTTGCTGGAGCTGCTGTGGTCTCTGATGCTGGGAGATGAATTCTGACTTGCCTTCCAGGCATGTCAAATGCTGAACATGCAAATGTGACGGTTAAAATCACGGCTAAAAGGGAAATGCATGCCCTGGTCTTGCTGATAGCCTCCCTGTGCAGGTCCTGTGTGACCAGAGGGTTATCAGAGTGTTTGTGGGCTATCTGGATTCCACAGGCAGGCAGGTGTGCCAGTTACACTCCTGGCATTTACATCGAGGTGCTACTGCCTTGGATTGATGGAGCAGGACCTGCTTTCATCAGGTAAATGCAACCAGTGTCTTTCAGCAGCCAGCATGAGTTGAGGAATAAAGCAACACTAAAAGACTCTGAAACCCTCCCCCCTGGGCACTGTTACCCCAGAAGCCTTAAGCTTTTTGTCCCCCTGAAGCAGCACTGGGAGTAGTGGGCTGTGATTCAGACTGCAGAGGAAGTGGATTGATGCTCAGGTGCCTTAATGAGCTGGAAGAACCCTCTGCCCCCACTCTGCTCTGTGCCCAAGGCATCCACTGGCGGGTGAGGAGCTGCTCTTCCCTCTCACAGCCTTTTAGAGCCATCACAAACAATCCTGGGGAGCTCCAAGTGTCTGTGGCCCCTGCCAGAGCCTCTGTGCCCCTGGGGACACATCTCTGCTTTACTGGGAGAAAGCCATACTGGTCCCAATGAGGGAGCTCTTCCTGCAAGGCAGTGGCCACTTGGGCTTTGTCACAGCCCTGTCCCTCCTTCCCTGCTCCTCTGCAAGTAATGGGATTTCTAAATCCCATTGTGGGATCAGTTTCACTGCACCACAACCCTCCCTAACCTCAGTTACAGCTTTACAGTACAGAGTCCGAGGGTGGAACCTTAGTTTTCATCTTGAGAGCAAGATACCAAGTTATGAGAGGGGGAAAAATCCTGCTGACATTTGTGTTGTTTGGCTGCTCTTGGTTCATGTTGGGGCTGCGAGCCCTGGGTTTGGCAGAAATGTTTTTGTTATTCCTTTGTGTTAAAATTTTAAGACCAAATCTGTTTTGTTCTTAGTGTTTGGCCACCATGGGGAATGGTGACAAGGAACTGGGTTGGTTTGTCCCTCACGAGGAGCAGTGTGTGCCTGGCAGTGTCTGTCTGTCTGTCTGTCCGTCCTGCTCTCCCTGGGTGTTGTTGTGTTCCTGGCTGTGTCTGTCCCTGGGCTGCTGGTGCTCTGGACTGAGCAAAACACATTTCCAGGGTTATTTGTGATGCTGTTTGTCCTGAGTGCCGGGAGCTCTGCTGGCTCCTGCAGGTTCTTCGGGGGTTTGGGCACCATCTCTTCCTCCCGTTTGCTTTGGAGGTGCAAGATCTCCTCCATGGGTGCTGTGAGGGGACAGGTTTGCCCTCTGCCCCTGCAGAGGTGGTTCTGAGATGAGATTTTTTGTGGCTGGAACCACCTCAGCTGTTGCCCAGGTCCCGTGTCCCCTCCATGGGCACATTTCCTCTCCTCACCTTGCACAGCGGAGCCCCTCTGGCCCAGAGGGTGATCCCATGTGCCCTTTGCTGCTGCTGCAGGGGAAATCTTGGGCCCTTTGCTGCAGAACCCACGGGGACAGGACACTGTCCCCTCCCTGTCCCCCCTTCCTCGTGCCTCGCATGTCCCCCCGCTCCCTGGGCTCTGTGTCTTTGTGCCAGCCTCTGTCTCACCGCTTGTTTGTACCGAGGATTTGGAGAATCAAATAAAGCTGCTCTGACCCACTCGTGCGAGGCCGTCCTGCCTGGGGAGGGGCTGGGGCCGGTGGCTGTCCGGGTAGGTGGCTCCCGGTGCCGGTGGCTCCCGGTACCGGTGTCTCCCGGTGCCGCCGGGCCGGTGGCTCCCGGGGCCGGTGGCTCCCGGTGCCGGTGGCTCCCGGGGCCGGCCCCGCCGAGGCCGCATGCCCGGGCCCGCCGGCCCCATTGGCCCCTGCAGTCACATGCCGGGCGGCGGCGGGGCTGCC